CGTGGATAAAAACAAAACTGAAAGAAAAGTTGGCTGAGAGTTCTGTTGGTTTATAGGTGTATAAGAAAAAAAAAAAAAAAAAAGAGATGGAAATGCGGGAAAATATGTATTTTTTTTTTCCTTTCACTTTCATACACACACACGCGTATTAAACTTATACGATTTATCTTATTTCTCGATATTATCTTTTTTAATGAGACATAAATATGTTTAAATATATAAATACGTATGTTTATTTGCATGAATATTAACACGAGTTAAAATTACATGTGTAAAATGAGTGATGATAATAAAATAATCATCGCATACCTTTCATATTCGTCATACGAGTAGTCATAGGTCACAGGTGGAAAAACTTTGCACAATATACAAATATCAAGATATTTATCGTACTTATTACAATGAAAGGGGGCATCGTTTATCGTCATTCGTCTCGTTTGTCGATCAAATATCTTGATAACATAACATAGTTATATTTTTATTTGCGACTGAACGTTGATAAGAAAATATCAATCTGAATACAGAAAAAAAAAACATTTATGGTAAAAGAGATTCAACTAATAATAATAAATCAATTACACAATTGACACGAACATCAATTATTTTATCAAATAATATTATATCCAAACGTATATCCTTAGATTATCCGAAGACATAAACAATCATAATTGAGTGGCTGTAATGGAAAGAGGTAGTAGTTATATATTTTTTTAAATTGAGATAAACGTCTAACTACAAACTATCTAGTTTGTATTTTTTTTATTTCTATCCCTTACCTTTTTATTCATTCAATTAAGAGGTAAGACCTAGCTCTCAGAAAAATAGCCTATTTATCACGTTCTTTCTTAAACAATCTAATTATACAGTTCTAATATAAATTTCAAGTAAATCGGTCATGAACTGTTGAAGTTTCGCAGAACAATGTTTTCGATATGTGTTTTACTTTATTAATCTTGCAATAGAACAATTTATGAATGTATTAAAAATGTATATAATGAAGTATACATCTAAACGAATATTCTGCCTTGCACTTACCATATTCTTATAAAAAAAAAATGCTCCAAATAGGCTATCTTCCCGAGTATTAGAGTAGTCTTATCCCATAAGACTATTTTTTTTTTTTTAAAACATTCTTGATTATACATATTCTATATAAGCATTACACATATTATCATACAACTGTACACTGGATTTTTGCATAATTCCTAGATTATTCCTAGATAATTCCTTGATGTTATTAGCAAATCTATTCGTAGCTTTGATAAGTACCATTCCTTCTATTTTTATCACTCTTTCTTATATCTTTTTATTTCAATCGTTGTCGTCGTCACCCACCTCCTCCTCCTCCTCCTCCTTCTCCACCCCTTCATTCCCCTACACTTAGCTCTTAGTCCCAGCTTGATCGTTCCCCCCAGTTGAGATGACCCGAACATTCTGGTAAATGGGGCAGAGCAGAAGGAAGTCAAGAGTCGAATGGCTTACATGTGGGTTATCTTATCGAGATCTTTCGAACGAGGTCGTAAAAATCGAAACTACCGAGAGCAAGTACTCCACTTCCGGTGATGGTATTGGGAATAGAAAAGTGGAGAAGAAATAGATGGGAGAAAGAAGAAGAGGAGGTGAAGAAGTCAAAGGGGAGATGAGGAGGTCATATCTTTCCTGAGAAACACTTTACATGCTCGTCGTTTTAATTTCTTCGTTTTTCTTTTTTTTTTTTTTTTTTTTTTTTTTTTTTTTTTTTTT